TATTTCTTAATGAGAATCTTGTTTTAAAAAGTGTTCTATATTTGTTTTAAGCTATTTAGGATTGTTTCCCTTATAATTAACCTTGTAATAAAGGGGCTTATAGCTTATTTAGCTAGTCAGTTTAACTTAATATATCCTATAATAGCAAACTTCTTTAAGATTTATTGAATAGCTAGTTTTCCTTTAAGGATTGCGTAATGGTTAATTATATATAGAATACTTTACATTATAGTAGCCCTGCTCTAGCTAACCTGATAGTTAATTATCTAAATAGCTATTTAACTATTTAATTATATTAACACTAGCGGGATTATCCTTTTATAGTTATAGAGTGTCTCTAATAGGATTCTAGCTAGGGTTATTACTTCTTTAATTGCAATTAGTTCTATTATAATACTATTAGTGCTGCCTCCTTCTTTAATCTATTAAAAGAGGGTGAATAGTAGTATAGATTTCTTAAAGTATATTATTACTCTAAGTTCTGCTTATTTATTAGTAACAAAACTATTTATAAAGATATTTAGATATTGTTCTTTTATTTTAAAATAGTTTTTATATGCTTTATTAGAACTATATTAATTAGACTCTTAGTTAATTGTTATTATACTTTATAATAAGGCTATCTATGCTAAGATAGTTTCAATATTCGTTTCTAGTTTGCTTAGCTATATTTCCATATTGTAGAGAGAGGAGGTAAATAACTTTGCTTTAAGCTTCTCTATTAGTTTTCTAAGCTATGCTTTCAGTAAGTTAGATTCTAGTAGCGTATAGAGTCCTATTTAAAATTTACTAATCTTTAGTTGCAATTAAATATATAGAAGAGAAAGTAACGCTTTAGTACTAGCTGCTTTAACTAAGACTATATAGAAGCATTTAACTACTGCTTAGGCTCTTATCCGTTATATTAGATTAAGGATTCTAATAATACTATTATCAGTTTTTCTATTAAAAGAACGTAAATACTATATTATAGCTATATAGTCTGTTTTTAAGGCTATAGTAGCTTAATAGAGTTATTATGCAGCTTATAGTCCAATACTAGCAAAGCGCTTAAGTTGACTAGCGCTTCTCCATTTTCTAGTTTTGACTTTAGCTAAGTAATCCTTAAATTGCAGTTTAGAATTAAAGATAACTTCTAAAATTCTCTCTTTTATTAAGGGCTTAACTACATAGTTACCTACTTTTAATAAAGGGTCTATTTTGCTAATCTCCCTCTAATTCTGTATGAAATATATAAGAACTGTTTTATTGCTTTTAAATATAGCGCTATTGTCTTTTACTTATTAGAGAGCCTTTAGGATAACCTTATTATTAAGCACTAATATATTTCTCTTAACTAAATTTGAAATAGCTTATTACGTATAGTTATTTATAAATTCTATATTTCCTTATTTCCTATTAATCTTCTCTTTTATTAGAAATACGTTAAAAAAGATATATAGAATTAAAGCAAGTATGGATCCTTATAAAAGACTGGATTCTATAAGGGTAACTTAGCTTAATTCTATTTTATTAATAAGTACTATAGCTAGTTAATCTATATAAAAGGAGTTAACTTATATTATTATATAAGCTAGTATTCCCTCTATGTATAGCTAACTAATAAGCACCTATTAAAAAACGCTATTATATATTTCTTTTATATTAAAGCTAATAAGAAAGAGAATTTTCTTTTATTATTATACTATAAATATTTTCTTAATTAAAAGAAGCAACGCTTAATTATATAATTATTATAGCTTAGCTTTAAATTGTATTTTTAAAAGGAGATTGAAAGTTTCTATCTAGTATAATATTCTTCTTACTAGTATTAGCTCTATTAACTTGCTTAATATAGCTAAAAAGGAAATAAGGCAATATGCTTTTATTATTTAGTAGTCTAGTTTCCTTAGCTTTTATAATAGTAAAATTTACGCTATTTTCTATATAGCTAGTATATATCTTAATTAATACAATATATTAAAGATATTAATAACTTATTTACTTAAAATAGACTATAAGCGTTTTTATATAATATTTAGAATGCTATCTATGCCTAATGCTTTATATAAGCTAATTTTAGCTATTGCTTTAGTTACTTTTTTAATTGAAATGTCTAGATTGTTTATCTTTTTTATATTAAGATTTAGCGCCTCCTCTTTCTAGCTCTCTAGAACTAGTAAAAAGAAGCATTAAAGTAGCTCAGTTGCTTTAGCATTATTGCTTTTAAGCTCTATCTTTTAATTATTAGTATTAGTAATTATAATAAAAATGTTACTAAATATTAATAGTTAAGGGTTAAAATACCTAGCTGCTTTCTAAATATTATTTATTTGTACTAGAAAGTTGTTTTAGTGTAGTTACTTCTTATTGCAAATGCTTTTATAAAATTGATGCTTAGCTTATCTAGCTTTATAGCGACTTTCTTTTCTATTTAGCTTTATAATCTGTAATATATTATTCCAATTCTATTATTAAATGTATTTATTGTAAAGCTTAATAAGCTTATTATTCTATTACGCTTTTATATATAGGGATTCTTTAACTATTAGGCTATAGTTTTAAATACATTAGGTTACTGTGTTCTAGATCTCTATAACTGCTTAGTTAAGCTTAATAGTATTATCTATATTAATAATTAACAGTTTCTATCCCTTAAGTACTTTAATAGCTTTATTCTAGTCCGTTTTCTTAAAATTGTATTTCGCTTTTATTATTATAATTTTTCTAGCCTTTTCGAGCTAGAATATAATAACTTTATAGTCCAATCTATATTAGGTTAAGTAAATGCTACACTCTGTAACTTAGCTTTTAAATATATTAGATACTAATATAAGATTAATAGTAGTTTTAAAGCATCCTTTAGAAAACGTAACTATACTACTTAATAAGGCTAAAAAGGTATTATATTAATGTATTTATTAAAGCATTAGTTTACCTTTTCCTATATATTAGAATTATAACACGTTAGTTCCTCTCTATACTAAGTTATAGTAATTAAAGTTACCTCTAATTATAATAAGGAGGTTTTCCCTATACTTTGCTTTAGCTTTATAGATAGTGTTACTTAGCGCTATGAGCCTAGTAGTGATTGCCTTTTCTAAGTCCTGCTTAGAGGAAGTGTACTAGCTATAACCTAGGATATAGATTAACATAATGAAAATATGACTTATTAAAGTAATAATAACTCTTACTATTATATTTAATAACTATATAGAGAATTAGACAAATAAAACGTTTTTATAAATATATAATAATAACTGGAAAGCATAGTGTGTTAGTCCTTCTTATTAAATAGTTAGAATTATAGTATTTTAGTACTAATATTAGGAAATATAGAATTTACTACTAATATTAATAATACTTAGCTTTATAATTATAATTACTATAAATTAATTAATAGATTGATTATTAAAAAGGCTAAATTGGACTAGGGATTATCTATTTACGTTTACTAATAGGAAATAGGTATCTCCTATTAGACATTGCTTATTATAACTTCTTTTCTAAAATGCTAGTTAGTAACTATTTACTATTCCTTATCCCTATTTTAAATAGACTAATTAATAAATTAGCTTTTACTTTAAATTCTGTTAATTTTATTATAATAAGCTAAGCATTTAATATTTATTATAATATATAGTTCTCTATATACTATACATTTTAGTATTAAAGCTTTGCAATTATTTATTTTATAGTTCTTAATGCATTTACTATATTTTAATAGCTAATTATATTTAGCTTAATAATAGCTATATATATTACAATTATAGTATTTCTAAAAGCGCTAGAGTTTCTAATACTTGCTAATTATAGCTATATTACTATTAACTTTAACTATACGCTTATTAAGAGCTTTCTAAGCATCTTCTGCTATAGTAAAATAGACTATTATAAATTTTATAAGTTTCTCTTTTTTAAAAAGCTAGAATGCTTTAATAACCTTTATAAATTTGTTTTTAATATTAAATACTATTATAAATTCTAATTAGATTTTATAAATGCTAAGCATTAGAATAGCTATTTTATATATATTATCTATTTTAATTAGAAAGAGGTTCTCTTTTTAGATTTAAGCTATTTTAAATATCTAATAGACTTATTTATTATTTAATTATAGTTAAGCAGCGTCTTTCTTATTCTAAATGAAGACTCTTATAGCCCTTACCTTAACTTAGATTCTCTTAATAATAATATTACCTATAGATAGTTAGGCTATAATAGCTTCTTAGATTCTTTTCTCTATAGCTTTGTTATTTTTAGCTAATTTACGTTATTTAAATATTAGGCAGTTAAAGTCGATTGTGGTTCCTAAAAGCTGGCGTAGTTTCTCTAAGGAGGTAGGTAGAGTCAATAGCGTACTGCCTCCTAATTGAGGTTAGATAGCTAACAATAATGGATAGATAGACTTTGACACTATGAAAGCATATGTAGTTAGTAGTAAGGCTGCTATATTAAGGTCAGCTATTAATGACAGGCTTAATTATTTAAAGCTCAAGAGGACAGTTTTACTGTTGTCGACTTTGGTACCAATAGTTCTAACTTTGGTATTAAGGACCTTAATGTCACTTCTGACTGCTTTAAGCTCTTTTTAAAGCTTATTATTTTTCTTTATAAGCTTATTATTTTTCTCTACAACAGCGTTAAGTGTCGCTAGTAGGGTGATGTTCTTCTAATAGAGAGTCTCGTTCTGAGTCTGGATCTGCTTAAGCAGTTTATTGACTATGTTGTTCTAAGCATTGATTTTGTTGTTCTAGGCGTTGCCAGAACAGTCGGGCGGCACCCTTTCTTTTAACTAAAATCGACGGGAGTTGGATGGTTTGACTCGTCGAGTCGGCTTGTAGATGAAACTGTCAATAAAATGATGAATATCGATAAAAAAAATATCCATGTCGTTTTTTCGTCGGTTTTTGTGGTACGGGATTGCGATAGGAACAGGGTCGCTGGCCAGATTATTTCGCAAACAAAAAAAAACACGTCAATCCTATATAGTACTTATATTGCTGACTAATATCGAAGTAGCCGCTTTAGCTCACCTGGGAGAGCGCCAGACTGAAGTTCAACTTTGGTTCTTCTAGCTGATCAGCTAGTTTTCTGGAGGTACTGTGTTCGACCCACAGAAGCGGCAATTCAGTTGTTTTTTTGCTTTTGAGCATTCTCATAGAGACTTATCTTCCCTTTTATGATATACTAAATATTCGTCCTCTGGTTTGCCGGTTCTTGCGAAAATTGTTTTAATGTTTTTTATGCAAATTTTCAAAGGAAGAAAAGATTCGAAGCGATCAACTACTACTGCAATTATATGGAATGCTTGAGAAATATCCATTAATTCTTTCCTCCCAGCATATTTGAACTTTCTATGACAAGATATAAAGGCACCAGATAGTATACGTAAGCGAACAAGACGTCTGACCAGCAAGAAGGAATGCATTGCGTCTAACCCGAATCTCATTCCTCGTATATCTCCAGCATGTTCGCAAATAACATCTAGCGAGAAAGCACTACCACCATAGCTGGCCATGAACGTGGTCAAAAGTGCATGAGTCGATGGACGAGACGATGCACATCGAAAGAAAAATCAGAACTCCTGCGGGATCGCTCTAGTTCTCCTTTTCCGCAGTGGCCACGTCAATTTCCGAAGCGCTATCTTTGTGTGGCTTTATGCTTTTCCACTCCACAAAGACAGCGCCCAAGATCATGCAAGCACTAAGGGCAGTGGTCAGGATGAAGACTCTGGTCAGGGAATAGCTATATGTATTGATGACGGCGTGGAGGTTCTGCGGCGGCACCGTGCTACGGAGAGCGGTTGCACCGGTGTTGACTATGGTCTCAGTGTTAAGGTCTCCAATGCCAGAAAGGCTGTCAACGAGCTGGTCGGAGAGACTGATGGAAAGGAAGATGGAACCTCCAAGCTGTTGAGCGAAAAACATCAAGGCCATACCGAGAGGGACGTCAGCACGCGATAAGACGTTCTGAGGAACTAGATTGCAGGTTTGGAAGTCGCAGCCTATTCCGAAGCCGTAGATGATCTGGTACCCAATCCACTTGTTGCTGCCTGCGCTCGGCGCGAGCGTTGAAAGCATGCCGCCGCCAATGGCGCAAAGAATAGGGGAAACCAGCATGGCGGGAGTGTAGTACCCAATCTTCTCAACAAAGATGGCAGCCGCGATACCTATGATGACCAGGGACAAGACCAGTGGCAGGGTACGGATGCCGGCCTCCATGGCCGACTGGCCTTGAGCGGCCTGGAACCATATGGTTAGGTAGTAAATTACGGTCATCATAACGCCAGAGAGGAGGAACATGAAAAATATGCTGCTTCCGACGGAACGATTCAGTATCACTCGGGTCGGGATCATTGCAGTCTCCAGTGTCAGGGCCTTGACAACCATGAAGGCGATGAGTAAGATGCCAAACGTGACAAGCAGGTCGACTATTTCGGGTGCTGACCAGGAATAGGCAGTACCTCCCCACTGAAGAGCTAGGATGAGACACACCATAGATGGAACGAAGAACAACAATCCAAGGGGATCGAGACGATTGAGCTGGCCCACTAAGGTAGGCTCCTCGCGCGGTTGTGGTTCCAGGTGGAGGAATAGAAGTACTGCAGCAATGGTAAAGCCGCCGACGGGCAAGTTTATGTAGAAACACCATCTCCACGTCAGCTTACTGGAGGAAGAGTCAGCTCGAGATATTACCTCAGAGAATCGCGCCGGCTTGCCTATTGTCGGTAAATGAGCCACCAACCAGAGGACTGAGAACCGACGAGACACCAAAAGCCACGCCAAAGAAGGACGTGAATATGGGCCGTCTGCGAAGCGGAACAAGTGGAACAATGATCATGATACCACCACAGAAGACGCCAGCCACACCAGCTCCAGCGATGGCGCGACCCACGATGAAGGTAGCAGAGCTAGGGGCCGAGCCACAGAGAGCAGAACCAATCTCGAAAACGATAATGGAAGCTAAAAAAAACCCATTTCGTCGAATACAAGCGGCCGTCAACATGTAAGCACTCCCATACCAACCTATCTCGGCAATAGATTGGAACTCGTCAGTAATGCTGGGAATGGCGGTAGCAATGATCATTCTATCCTGTTGAGACCGTGAGTGTGAGCCCGACCATTCCAGACTTCCTTGCCAGCAATACTTACTAACGCGACGAGGAAGATCGACAAATACATGCCGATAATGATCATCCAGAACTTGGGAGATTTGGGCTGGAAATTCTTCTCTGCATCTTGATACTCCTCGCTCTCACCGATATGTCGAGGCGTTGAAGGCACGCATTTTGCAGATTGAGGAGAGGTTACCAACATAATTATATACACTGCGTAAACAAGAGAGCAATTGCCAGGCGGAGTCTGTCTGGCCAAATGACACCAGGCCAGCGGCAGTCTCTACTTTTATAATCGTACATCTTAGCATAGAAATTGCTGGTGCCTGGGGTCCAAGTACACCGGATAGACCGATCAGTAGGAAGACGGACATTTAGTTAGTATCCGAGCATATAGGAGTCTCTCGTCGTGTCGGACAATAGAGAACCCCGAAATAAGCAGGTGGGTAATGGCGTGCTCTGATATACGCCCGTAGTCTCGGACTCCAGAAGTCCTCGTGAAGAACATCATACCTTCAATGGTGAGCGTCAGACTTGCAACGACACGTACGCAGACACATCTTTGCATATGATTGTAGGCCAAACAAAGTGGCTTTGCATGAATACCTAGAGAGCTAGAGTCTTGCTCCGAATTGCCGGCGGATTGACCTCTACACTCGACCAGTCGTTCAACGTTCTAGCACTTCCGAATCGTGATTGTCGCTGTGTATGGGCTGTGTCGGCGATGATACCTCTGTCAGAGCAAGATACCACTGTCTTGTCTCCATGTGTCATGGGCTTGCCATCCTCGGAAGGCGCAAAGCCGCAACGGGTGCTTGCATACATGCTGTGCCAGCAGCGTAAAGTGAAGTGCGATCACAAACTCCCTTGTGCCAACTGCATCAGATCCCAAACCAAGTGCGTACCTGCGACCAACATAGCCCACGGCCAGCGACGCCGCCGATTCCCCGAGCGTGAGTTGCTTGACCGTCTCCGCCGTTACGAGAGCCTGCTCCAGCAGAACAACATTAGTTTCGAGCCGCTCCACAAAGAAACCTCAACCATAAAGAAGAGCTCTCCGAACGCAAATGGCGACTGCGCCTGTGCTAGATCACGAGATAATGAGAAGTCCAATCTCTATACAGGTGCAGAACAGTCGTCATCTCCCTTGGTCGTCAAGTCGGGAACAATATACCAGTCCAAGTATGCGCTTGTTCTCGAAGAGTGTTATGTTCCAAGAACACTAATGTTCATCTCTCAGGGACATCTGGCACGCTATGTATAGACCGGTTTGACCACATTCCCTGTTTCCCAGCCCTACTAACAATCAATGATAGCCCCAAAATGTCGAGGATGATAGCAGCGATTCTGCATCCGATGATGTAAGTGAGCCTGTGCTTGAAGCCTGGCACCAGCTATATCAGAACAACGAGCCATTTCTATTTGGCTCACGTAAGACAACCGTCGATCTATCTACACTTCATCCTCAGCAGGTCCAGATATCTAGGCTCTGGCAGATTTACCTCGATAACGTCAACCCAATACTCAAAGTCACCCACACTCCTACCCTTCAAGGACTTATCATAGAAGCCGCAGGTGACATGTCTAGTATCGAACCTACTTTGGCGGCACTCATGTTCAGTATCTACTGCGTATCCATTATGAGTCTCGCCGACAGAGAGTGCCGTATCATGTTTGGCTCGACAAGAGAAAGTCTTCTTGCAAGGTATCAATCTGGCTGTCAGCAAGCTCTATTACGCTGTGAGGTTCTACGTTCTACCAACTGCGACTGCTTAACCGCACTTTATCTATACCTAGTAAGTCTGTCGGGCCACCTTATTCCTGCTTGGTATAACATTTTCAGATCTCGATCAAATCCACCACAGATCCTCAGTCCTTGTCCTCTATGCTCGGTATTGCGATCCGGATTGCGCAATGCATCGGACTTCACACCGAGTCCGCTTATACTAAATGCTCCGCTTTTGAGGCGGAAATGTGCCAAAGGCTTTGGTGGTCGCTTATACTGTTTGATGCTCGTATCTCCGAGCTAGCTGATTATAAAGCCTCAATGCTTTCTCCTACATGGAACTGCAAGATGCCTTTGAATGTCAATGACTTCGATCTCCAACCCAACATGAAAGACTCACCTGCTGTACAGGGTAATTCTACGGAGGCTCTGTTTGCCGTTGTGTGCAGCGAGATGGGCGAATTCGTTCGCCACAGCGCATTCCACCTCGACTTTATCAATCCAGCGTTGAAGATCATAGCTAAACCCCTTCAGCACGGCCCTATCGCTGAAGAGGGTGAACTGGCCACGCTGGAGAAGACCACTGAAGACAAATACCTCAAATTCTGCAACCCAGAGAACCCACTTCACTTCATGACAATCTGGACGGCGCGAGGCTACCTTGCCAGATGCCGCCTCCTCGAACATTGTTCTACGCCTTCCACCTCACCGGCGGACAACACAGACACAAGACGCGGTTCCGCCATCCCGCATGCACTAAGCATGCTAGAATGCGATACAAAGCTTATGACTTCATCTCTCATCAAAGGATACCTTTGGCATGTTCACTTCCACTTCCCATTTGTCGCATATATTCACATTGTTCAAGACCTTACAAGGCGGCCTTCAGGAGACCACACTGAAAATGTTTGGGAGACTATGAGCAACAATTATGAGGCTCGCTTCACGTCCCTAGGCCACGATGACAATCCATTTCTCAAAATATTTACAAGACTCATCTTCCGGGCTTGGGAGGCTCGTGAGGTAGAGCTGAGACGGCTGGGAAAGCTACTCGTGCCACCACGAATTGTGTCAGACTTGCGACAAAGATTGGCGCGAATGGAACAAGAGGAACAGCGTGTCAGCACTGAACAACGTGTTGACAGCCGCGGACATGAACTTCGATGACTTGCTGGGATCCATGTCGACGGACCTTCACGGTCAAGATCTGTTTTTTGGCTTGGAAGGTCAAGGCTACATAAACTCGGGGATGGGAGGGTACAGTAACACATCCGGACTGGCTGCA